CAGTTAGAAAAAGATATGAAACTTGTTGGTTTACTTCCTGAACCAAATTATTGGAATTTGCCCATAGTCTTAAGTAATTGCCCATAGTCTTAAATAAATGTCCATAGTCTTGTGTATTTGTCCATAATTTTAAGTAATTGTCTATAGTTTTAGTAATTGTTGATGAAACTTTTTTAAGTTGAAATCCATTCAGTTTTAATTTATTATTTGCAATTAGTTATAATATGAATTTTGCTTTTACGTTAGGTCGCAAAGATGATAGCAATCAAAACATATGGCGTGAATTACCTCCTGAAGAATTTTCAAAGTTTGTTATACCATTTACTTTTGAAGGGACAACCAAGGTATTTTGTATGAATAATGCTAAGTTAACTGTAGAAGTTTTCCTATTACTAGAAAGCCAGTGAGTCTCGCATATTATGACATCACGGTTCTCTTATCCAACAGCTCTAATTGTTCATTGGTAAATTTTAGCTTTAAATTTGTTTTTGTTTTTTGTTTGAATTGCTTCTTTTGTAAGATTGCTCCATATGTGTGCTGACTGTTTGTTAAAAAATTTTGTCTTGGGTTGTATCTATGTTATTTATCCTGAATATCTTGTTCATTTTCTTGTGTTCTTCTGCCAGTAAAAAAATTGGTTTGTTTATTAGTTTTACTTTTACATAGTCATTGAAAATCTTTAAAAGTTGAATTAGTTCTCCACTTATTTTGTTTCAAGAGTTGTTTAGAATTTTTTATCTTTCTATGAAATCTTTTTGAATACTGGTAATAGTCATGTTGCTCTGTGTTGTATATTTTCACTTTTTTGAGATGATGACCTTACGAGTGCTACAAGTTTTTCTATATTACCTTTTTAAGATGGTGATGTTACTAGTTCCACAAATTCTTCGATACTACCTTTTTGAGATGGTGACCTTACTAGTGCCACAAGTTCTTTGTTATATAAAAAAAAATTTAAAAAATGACTTTTTTTAATGATATATATATATATTTTTTTGTTTGTTTCTTTGAACAAGTTTATATTTATAATAAAATTTTTAATAAAACTCTCAAAATTTTTAATTTTTATAATATAATTACATTGCATTAATAAAATACTGGCTGCTGCCTTCCAAAAGGGCTCCTATTCCTTTGCATAGTCAACCTTCCGTTAAGACTTTAAGTAAAGAGTTTAATCTTTAAGTAAATTTAACACTTTAAATCTTTACTTAAAGATTAAAGTCTTTACTTAAAGATTAAAGTCTTTACTTAAGGGGTTACTTTAAGTCTTAAACAAATTAAAGAAATAAATTACATGAACAAACTATTGGAACAAAATGCTGGAACAAATTACTGGAACAAATTACATGAACAAAATATTGGTACAAATTACTGGAACAAATTCCTAAAATACATTACATAAACAAAATTTTGTTACAAAATGCTGGAACAAATTACTTAACCAAATTACATGAACAAGCTATTGGAATAAAATATATGTACAAACTATTAAAACAAAATACTGGAACAAATTACTGAAAGAAATTACATAAACAAAGTATCTGTACATGATATTGGAACAAATTACATGAATAAAATTTTGGTACAAAATACTGGAACAAATTACTGAAATACATTACATGAACAAAATATTGGTACAAAGTGCTGGAACAAGTTGCTAAAATAAATTACATGAACAAGCTATTGGAACAAAATATATGAATATTAACAGAATTTCTGTACAAAATATTGGAACAAATTAAATAAACAAAATATTGGTACAAAATGCTGGAACAAGTTACTGAAACAAACTACATAAACAAAACATTGGTAAAAAAACACTAACTTTTTTAGGCAAACTCTAGCATGTAAATATAGTAAATATTCTTTGTATTAACTTATACTCGACACTCGTTTTAAACACATCAAAAAAACTTTTATCCTGCATTTATCATATTTGTTCTTGAATATATTCGTCTTAAAATAGATGCTGAAAATATGCTTTTTAAATCTTATGATAAGATATAACTTGTTGCCAGAATAAGGCATTTCTATAATTTGAATAAGTGTTCCAACATATATATATATATATATATATATATATATATATATATATATATATATATATATATATATATATATATATATATATATGTATATGTATATCTATATATATATCTATATATATATCTATATATATATCTATATATATATATATATATATATATATATATATATATATATATATATATATATATATATATATATATATATATATATATATATAAATACTTGATCAAATGTATAAATATTTCATTGAGACTTTGAATAGTTTTCTTATGTTAGTATATATAAAAAATTTATTTAAGGTTTTTTGTTTAGAAACTATAAAATAGGGCTTACATTTTGTAGTTTCTATCTTTTTGATCATATTTTTATTCGAATTTTAACTTTATTTACTGCAGAATTGTCCTGTCAGTATACCTCGAAGATATATCGAAGTATTAAATGAACGAGAAAAGTAAGATTTTTTTGTTTATATATATATATATATATATATATATATATATATATATATATATATATATATATATATAATATATATATATATATATTTATTTTTAAACTTTTTCTTAGTAAAGATGAGTCTATATTGAAGAAACACAGTGTTATGAAAAATTTTTGTTAAGTGATTTTCTACTAATTTATATATATATATATATATATATATATATATATATATATATATATATATATATATATATATATATATATATATATATATATTATATATATATATATATATATATATATATATATATATATATATATATATATATATATATATATATATATATATATTTCTTCCTAAGACCTATTGCAAACAAATGCGTTTATGACAATTTTATGTGTTTGTAAAACAATTTAAACTAAATTTTCTAGAATGTTTTTAAAATTGGTATTTAATTTAAATTGGTAACTTATTAACATTAATTGAAGTTTGAGTAAGATTTTTTATTTTGACCGATATCAACAACAAACCGATATCTTTGTAAGCAACAACTTTGTAAGCAACAAAGATTCCAGGAATAAAAAATTGGCAATTATGTTCATCTGACTTAAACCCTATTGAAAATTTATGGGGAATATTGGTGCTAACTAAATGGAAATTCTCAACTTTATAACACAATACAGGAACTTAAAACATCTATCCAACAACCATAAAACCGTATTTCAAAGGTTTGTTTGAAAAATCTTATAAAAAGTATGAAAAACCGAATCTTCGAATTACTTAGTGTAAAAGGTGGTGCACACACATTTTACGAAACTAAAAAATTATTATCTTTTTTTTTTTTTATAACATAGCTTCCACTATGACGGCAAGCAACCACTAATTAGTGTTGGAAGTTATTGGACGAGAAAAGATGAAGGTTGTAGAGCAAGATAACGATTGACAGATGACTTAAAAGATTGCAAATTATATGAATCAAGAAAGCAAGATGAAGGGAGCGAATTCCAGAGAACTGATGTTCGAGGAAAAAAACTAGATGAATAAGAGTTTTTGGAGCACTTAGCAGGCCTTGCGATGAATAAGAACTGCGCGACGCATAAGCACGATGCGATTTTTGACGTCATTAAATTCTTTTTATTTGCTTTTCATATTTATCGACATTAACTGCACCAATTTATTTAATTACCGCAAAACTACTTTAAATCGTTTATGTAGAAATGTTATTATTTAAAAATGTTTTGGAATGTTTTGTTTTTTAAAATGTAAAAACATTTGTTTATTTTCTCGACGTTTGTCGCGTTTTGTCTATACTAAACGAATAAAAAACATTATAACTTAAATTTAAAAAAGATTATAAAATATGCTAATATTTGATTTTTTTTTTCTTAAATATGTAATTTAAAGTTTTTCAAATAATTATTTTTTCTTTTTAAAAAGTCAGCGAGTAATAAACTGGAAATTTTAATATTGTACGATTAAAAACTGTGCAACAGCTAATATTTTTACAAGCGATTTTATATAATATTTATTTATTTTTATTTATTTTCATAAAGCGGTTGATAAGCACAATCACTCGTATTAATAAAAAACTTAAACGAACGTTTTGAATAGATTTTTAATGTTAACAAGGAATTTTATTTCTATTAAAATAAAATAAAATGTTAGAATAAAAATCTTATAGGTATAAAAGAAATATTTCAGCGAAAAAATTATTCTTAAAAATAATTATTAAAAATTATTCGAAAAACTATTGACGTTCTATTTTTCAGCAGCTGTTCTTGAGCACGCTTCGATGAGTTTCGGTAACTTTTAACATAAAAGCGATCGTTATTATTTAAGTAATTTTTTTGAGTTACTTTTTACAAAAATTTTAATAACTGTACTTTTTTATTGAATCAAGTAGAATACGTTTTGATATTAATCTTTTTATTTTTTTATTTGCCCTCACCAATTTTTAAAATGTTTCCTCGAAATCACTCTTAAATACTTTAAATACGTCTAACAGTTAATAAATATTTTTAAATCTATGGAATAATTTTAAAACCTATCAAACCCCTGTAAAATAATTATTTAAGTTTAAAATCTAAAACTAAAAGAAAGTATTTTTGTTCAATTTTATCAACAACGTTGCTATTGCTGAATAATTTTATTAAAATGTTAGCTTAAAAGATTTAAACTTTTTTTTTAGTTTTTGAATTTTTTCTACTTCCAAATAATGAGCATATTTAATTTTTTTAAATTCAAACTTTTATTTCAACTGCGTGCGGTTTTTAAAATACTTTATCAAATGTTAAAATAATCGTAAATTACTTCATTAAAATTCCGCTCAAAAATATCTTTAAATATACTCAAACAAAAAATTTTTTGCTCGACGCAAATAGCCCTAGCTACACGCAAAATCGCCCTTGGACGACGTAAAATTCACATCGCCCGACGCTTTATCGCAAGGCCTGACTTAGGAACAGTAACAGAAAAAGGATGAGACTTTATTGAATGACGAGTAACACGAGAATGAATTTTAGTAGATAGCACAAGAGACGCTAGCTCTTTAGAGCAGTGCCCATTATAGTATTTGTAGAAAAGAGAAAGAGAAGCAACATTACGACTATGCCACAGAGGTTTAAGGTTGGCTGCAAGAGCAGGTCCAACCAAGATGACCAAACCAAGAGCCCCAAGGCTTTTATGTCAGAGTTTGCATCTCCTAGCCTTTGCCTAAAAAGGCGTATCCTACAAGGCAGCAGGACATGAAACAGATTGTACTGGGTTACATGTTACCAGTAGCAGGATAAACCAGACCTGACTATAGGATAAACCTGACCTGATATCTAAAACAAAAATTATAAAGGATTACCTTTGATCGAACTATAGAAGTTTTTCTGTTTTTCTGAATTTTTTTTTAACTTTTAAGTTTTACAAAATAAATTAATAATTATTTTCTATTAAATTTTTTTTTTTTATTTATTTATTTCTAATAATTCCTGTAATAAAAAAAAACAGTGCAAATACTTTGTGAATTTATATGTACAAATTGTAAGTAGAACTATAAAAGTATTGCTGAGTGTGTGTCCCCGAAGAAAGACAATCAATGAAAGAAATGGCTAAGGTTATTAGCTGTTCTTGGTCACATGCATGGTTTAAAATGAGGGAGGAACCTAGTTAAGTGAACCTGAAAGAGGCCACATCAGCCTGCATTACAGCCCAAAAAGCTCTGACCAGACATATTCTTGGTGTTAAAGTCACATCAAAAAAATATGCATAGAACGAATAAGGTTGCTGAGAAAGAACTCTGAACTATGGATGAGTTTACCGAAGTCTGATGATGCTCTTGAGACTTTTTATAACTCAAATGTTTATTAAAAGGACTAATCAACAATAATCTAACTTTTTAAACATTGTTTTAAAAGTTAGATTATTGTTGCGACTTATGCCTTATCCATACTGCAGTAAAAAAAGACTCACTACAAATAGCCAAAACCCAACCATACCCAAATTTGTAAAACACTAATATTTTTTTAACGATATGATGTAAAAAGTGTAAATCTACTGTACAATATAAATAAAAATAACTAAATAAATCACTTACCATTCCACCGAAAGAAAACATGAAAACATAATAAATTAAAATTCTAATAGAAACATAAAAATATCAATAAATTCATTTTAAGATATAAAACCAAATAGGTATTATTAGCATAAACAAGCCAAAGATAATCAGAAAGTCAATAAATTTTTTTTTTTAATTAACAAAACAACAATAGCCTTAAATAAACTCTAACGCTATCATAGATACCTCATTTGAAATATGATAACCAATCAAAAGTGTAGGAAAATGAGAAACCCGCAAAGCCCAAAATCATAACAATAATTGAACAATATATGACTGCAAAAAAAATCGTCGCACAAAAACCTTAAAAATGTTACCGGCATATATGTAAACATTTAATGAAGGATATAGAAAATTCTCTGAATAATAATAAAAAATGAAAATTGTGCATATGAAATTGAAAATAAAGTTGAGTAATAAATGCAAGATAATATAACAAAATAATATAACAAAGTAATAAATGCAAGATAATATAAAAATTTCATAGTAAACAGTAATAATATAAAAATCAGCAGATAAATAATATATTAATGAATATAGCAATAAGACAAACTAAATACTGTAACAAAGCCAGATAAATTTAAAATAAATGAATGGTTAAAAGTTTATTTTGGGTGATTGAAATCGTGCTATAAAAATGATGTACGAAGCGAGAATATTGTTAAGAAGTAAAGTTTTCTCTATGGTCCGAATTACAAGTAACTTTGAGACCATTTCTAAATCAAACTTTCTAAAAAATAAAGATTTCTCTATGGTCCGAATTAAATGTAATTTTGAGACCATTACAAATGTACAATAAATTTTTTTTTTTAACTAATAAAATATAAATAAAACTAGAAAATTGATGTAAACCAATAATAATATGTAAATAGTAACATTTAGGAATTGTAATTAGTAAAGAAAAAATAGATTTTTAATTTATGTTTTTTATGCGCCGTCTGGATTAGAAATTTCTTGATCGATTTAATGTTTTTGAAACTCGCAGTAGGTGGAGTTGGCCATATTTTTTTAAGATCAGTATCTGTTCAACAATTTTCCAGTGCTTTTTTATTCTTTTATTGATGAGTTTTCCAAAGGTTGTAATCATTGGTAAAATTCTCTCTTTTTCTCTTTCTTCTTTATATTTGTTGTAGATAAGTTTGTGTTGTGTATGTCGTAGTGCTTTTTTAAAACCTTTGTTAATAGATTGAATAGGGTAGCCACTAACTAAAATTTGTGCTAATTGTTGTAGCTCTTTTATTAGGCTGTAATTGTTCGATTTAATTTTATTGTATCTAACGCTTGGCTATATATTAGGTTGCTTTTTTGATGAGGGGGATGGAATGAATTATAATGCAATAGTGCTGTTGTATCAGTTGCCTTTTTGTATATTGTTGTTTCTAACTGTCCATCTAGCTTTTTGATA